TATATATATATCAAATGAAACGTGGTGGCCCGGTGGTAATGTCACCAAATTATCACCCCGCGGGGATGTGAGTTCGAATCCCACCACCACCGCCTGACTCTCCCTATTGTGTGTGTGTGTGTTGAATGGCAGCCCTTTGATTGGCCGCCTGCCCCTTCCTGAAAATTGTATCATTGTGTAAAAAAAATGCAGTAAAATTAAAAGATAAGATTGAAATGAAGTGTGAACTGAAAAGCTAAGAAGCACTGGACAGCTGTTTTGACCTGATTGGATCTCATGAACGACGAATTCCCAGTTGAAATTTAATCAAATCCTCCACTATGCACAGGAAACCTTGCTTTCTCAAGTGCAAATTATAGTAGTCATCATGACAAACAGAAAATCTTGATACGATTCATTTATTGACTGTACCAAACTACAGTCAATTTTCAAACAAAAACTTTACAGGAGACACAGAGAATTGGAGCGGCAGTGGTGATGCTGTTGTTGTTGTTGTTGTTGGTGGTGGTGGTGGTGGTGGTGGTGGTGGTGACCGTGATGTAACACTCTACTGCCTTAAAATTACCATGAGCACGATTAAAAGAATATCTAGATAACAAAAGAACCGATTATTCTGATCCAAGATTCCAAATTCATATCACCTGATCGCAATTTAATATTGCCGACTTTGGATGAATTCAATCATGCATACGCAAGAACAACTGAGTCATGTTACTAGCCTATCTTGGCGTCAGTCGAGCTGTAAGCCCACAACCCTTTTCGATTTCTTCATAGGTTGATGATCAGTGTTTGTTATACCACAAATCGAGTGTTCCATTCAAGACTGGAAACAATGGCTACAATGAGATCACCAAGTTTCCGAATGTCCATAAAGGTAGCTAGCTACCTAGACATTCAAGGGGGCTGAATTGCAGTTATCATGGGTAGAAAGCCTGTAGCTAGTACGGTGGTTTAAGTCAATAAATTAGCAAGCTGAATGTCCCGAGTTCAAATCCCGCTACCGACGCCCGCTTTCCCCATTTCTGTATTACCCCAGCCTTTGTATAACTGCGACCCCGTTCTGAAAGTTGTCTATACAATTGTACGTTCAATAAAATCAAAAGGAAGCAAAATATTTAATAATTGAATATTTAAAATATATCTTTATGGAATTTTAAAACTATCATACTCTACACCGTATCACCGAATTCCACGAGCCTTTGAATTCCGTATATCACTTGTACCCAAAATTTCATGAACACGCACGTGATCCACTGCTCATAGTGTCACCATGCTTCTATCTGTGGGAGTCGGGGGGGGGGGGNGAGGGAGAACATTTGTGCTACCAACTGTGAACTGTGCTATGATGGCATCATTCCTTTTTTGTCATAGACAGTGCGAGCCACTTAGAATGCTTCACTGTTTGACGCCAACAGTTGATTCTTTCCGATTGAAATCTGATATGCGAGAATCTGCGCAAAACATAACGGAATAAAGTTACACGATTCGAATCGCTCCAGAAACGGAGCTACATTTCACATTTCTGTTTGTTTGTTTCTCTTTTTTCCTAACACGGGGGTTATTTATTTATTTTCATACACGTCTGAACCCAGATTGTGTGCCAAAAAAATCATGGTACAATTGATCTTTATGAAATAAATAAAAACTTTCCATGATTTGCATGTGAGCGGTATACTGCCAGATTGTCCAGGTCAAGGCAGGTGAATTTTCATGAGGAATTCACAACCGGAGTATTCGGCTAGCCAAAGCCTGATCCGCGAGGCAGCCAGGCGATGTGCCCAAAACCACAATCCATTTGGAGCCAGTGTCCAGTTCATCGGATCATACGCCCTTTGGACGGAGTCAAACATCCAAGGTGCCCCATACACCTCGACGCTCAATCGAGCCGGTGACCACTGCAACAACCAGGAAGTTGTGTGTGTGTGTGTGTGTGGTTTGTACGCCTCCCCATGGTTGGTTTGGAATCAGGGTTTTTGGTCAACTACCAGTACTCCACCAACCCGGCTATAGTCCCGGATATCGGCTATTAATCATCTCACTTTGGTGGGAAAACACCGCTGTGACGAGAAGGTAGTGAGTAGGGCTTCCCCCCCCCCCAGCAAAGACTATTTGAGACACTTGGTTGTATGTGGGAGCATTTCGCGATGTGCGAGGGACTGGTGACCAGCCGCAACCCTAGACACACCCCACACACCCCCCCGACCATACTGAGGCTTTTGGAGGCGCGGGTGGGAGATACAAATACTGAATTCGACGATGGAACTACCCATATGAGTTTTCGAGTCACTTCGCAGTTCAAAAGGAAATACCAGATTGCAAAACTTCACGATTGATGTGGAGTACAATTTCGCTGCATCTATACATAGGGCGTATACCGCGGGAAAAAAACTTTCTATGGGGGCTTTGATATGGTAACACGGAAGAGTAAAATACAATAAAACATATAAGCATAAAACGCAGGTCGTGGAGAGGGAGGGGTCAAAGTGCCATGTCACCAGGTTAAGAATAAACTAACAAAATTCTTTTTATTGACACAGGAGATCGATACCAATCGTCTTCACAAGCCTTAACAATCTTGTGATTCAATGACTGGTATATGTAATTCCAAACACCGTGATTCGATCGATCTGGTGTTAAATCATCTGCAAATGTCGACCTGTGACTAATGACCGGTGTTCCTATGCAGCGGACCTGACCTCGATTGAGTCATCTGTCTTTGGACCTAATTTGGAACATGTTGAACCACACGGTTGAGTAATTGTGGCTCAGTTGTACCCACGTAGATCGCTCCTCACCAGCATTACAATCAAAAGACTTGAAAGTGGACTTAGGCATGGATCTTTTGTGGTTGTCTTACGCGTGCAACAGATGAAAACCAATGAACGGCTTTCATCTAGCAATTTATGTTTTCTTTCAACGCTTATCACTTGGCGAAAGCTGATCCGATAGGGGAGTCACAAATATAACACAAGTGTTGAAACAAGCTCAGCCCTCAAATATAATTCATCATTATTGTCGTCATCATCATCAACAACCACAACAATCATCACGACGACTGTTATTCTCTGTATGAGAATTAGTCATTATAAAGCCATCAACTGATTTCAAACATTCTTTTTTTCAATTAGTGCTGGCGTATCGACGAGTTCACAACTATTGTTTTGGGAATGAAACAATTGCATGCAATTGAAAGCACGCTAAATGATAATGATGATGATGATGTTAGTTGATCGCTGTTCCGTTCCCTATCATTGACTGCCTCAAATTGTGAGGATGTGATTTTTCTGTCGGTCGATAAACAATATTCAGCCCGCACAAATAGGTTTTCCACCCTTTCTACCAATCATCAACCCATTCCTACATCAGCAGCGGTAAAATACCTTGGTGTCACAATATCACACAATTTATCACGGTCACTGAATGTTGAAAAGATACTCTGTAAATTTAGAAAGCTTTCATATTTCTCATTCTGATCGAGATAACTTTCTGTTTCCCCCAGCACCCCACCCCCGCCACCCACCGTCACTGGTTGTATTGCACCCCCCGTAGCGATTTTCCTCGGTATGTTAAAAAAAGACTTTTATCTACTGATATGAACTCTGAAACACATTTCCAAGTAAGGAGATAAACTTGCAGACGCGATCATGGACAGACACCTTCGAACATGTGGAAAATTGTACTGCAAAATTACTTTCAAACATACATCACTCACTGTACAACGAACGTTCAAAAGCTCTACCGACATCATCCACACGGTCCTTGTTGACGAGGAGAAAGTTTTCACTGAATTACACAATTGCTCGCTCCATTGACAAAGACTATATCTATTGCATTCAGTTTCATTCTGTATGATTTTATAAATTTGCATTCACACAAATAATGTAGAATGCTAAAAATTCACCCATTTGGGTGCCTAAAGCGAGTATTGACTTGACTGGACTCGACCGGTCATCACACAATTGACAACCAAGCTAGTGCTGGATTGAATACAATGAGACTCGAATCATGCCCAGTATGGTTGTGAACATCAATCCCTGAGCAACCATAGCTCACTGATTATCACTTTTATTCACTTTATCTTTTTTTTTCTAAGCACGAATTGTACAATGATGGGAGAAAACAATGAAACAAAATTTTAGGAATTGATCAACTTAGCAGCTATCAACTGTATTACTTTACAGTAGTTAGTTTATCTCATGTAGATTTTTTGCGTGGATATTTTTTCTCATCTGTGGGTTCAGTTCTCGACAGAAAAAGTTAGCATGGAAAATTCAGGACAATGTAATTAAGACAAGATATTTGAAGGTAATCGGAATTAAATCGATTTCACAGGTGTTTGCAAATAGCGCTAATCTTGGACAATAGAATAGCGTAATAGGCAAACACCCCGGGGATGACCAAATAGTCATTTTGATCTCAATTAAGTGCTGACATTCCCAACCTCGTTCCGAAAAACAGCATCAAATGCTGTCGGATATTTTACCCAAATCTCTTCACAACACATGAACACTCTGTGGTGAATAAGCTTGTGGATGAGCAATAACCCCTGAACTAAATCATACACGCTCGGTTAATTATGGTACTGTGGAACCTGCATCGTCATAACTCAGAAACACTGGTAAATCATGAACATTCGTTCACCTTCACCCTGTGGTCGATTACATAGTCAGGTGAAATGCGGACCACCATAGACTTGTTGTTTCAGCCTCCCGATTTACAGTTTGTTTTATCTTTGTCAAACACCGAACCGTTAAAT